TGATGTACGTACGTACGAAATTCTACGTTGTTACTGACTGACTGATTAAGTAGAAAAATACGATTGAACAGGTTCAAGCCAAAAAGTGGCTGTGATTGTGTGAGACTGTAATTAATAAATTGGGAATAACCTAAGAGTAGTAAATCGTATGATAATAGTCAATAGGTCAAATGAAAGCTTGTAATAAGTGAGATATAGATATTCATAATTTAGCTACTTAACAGTTATACAACAATAATATACGTATAATATTAGCCCATTAATAGCTCTTAGAAGTTACGCATCGTTTAAACTTCGCTAGGATATAACACTTCCGTATTCAACATTTCAATAACACATTCTTAACTCTGGATGTTTCAGTAACACATATAGTTTGAGAATACAAATAAAGTTACTTTTGATTGTTTGTGTTTGAAGTCAAATCCCTACCATTATTATATTATCATCATTCATTTTCCTACTTCATTATCTCTATTCTAGATTATTTATCTTTTATTATATAAGCTGTTGTGACTAGATATCAGAAAGTGATTTTGTCTTCTTATCTACACTGCAAACGGATACCAAAATCGTTGGTTAGATTACGTTATATTATTAAACATTGGTTCACCGATCGATAGAATACTAAAGGAATAGATATTCTAATGCTTACTAATTTAAATTCATTTATGATAAATTCATAAATATTTACAAGGCACTAGTTCGCTTATTCATACTTGATGGAAAAACTCTCGAAGAGGTGGAAAATTTCACGTATCTGGGTAGCACCATCGATAAACGTGGCGGATCTGATGCAGATGTAATGAAAAGGATTGACAAAGCAAAGGCAGCATTCCTACAGTTGAACTTAAATATTGAACTCAAAACAACTGTCAACGAATATCAAAGTCACAATCTTCAATACGAACGTCAAAACAGTTCTATTGTATGGAGCTGAAACTTCGAGAACTACCACAACCATCATCAAAAGAGTACAAATATTTATAAACAATCGTCTACGTAAGATACTGAATGTTCGGTGGTCGAATATTATCAGCAACAGCCCACTGTGGGAGAGGACAAACCAGATCCCAGCTGAAGAGGAAATTAGGAAAAGACGCTGAAACTGTATCACAAGACAAGCCCTAACTTGGAATACTGAAGGGGAACGAAAAAGAAGACGTCCAAAGAACACACTACATGGAGAATTGGAATCAGATATGCAAAGGATGAATAGCAACTGAAAAGGATTGCCCAGGAGACAGTTGTATGAAGAATATTGATGGACAGCCTGTGCTTCATCACGACAGGTAATAGGTGTAAGGAAGTAAATTTCATACAGGAAGTTGATATTTTCCTTCTTAACTCATCCTTCTTATAAAGTTGGTCTTATTCTACCATATTCTACGTTTAAAAAAAAACAGAGGTAATTAATGGTAACCATGTATCTCTCAGAATATGTTGTTTTTGTTTTCTATTTGCAAATCAAATTTAGTTATTGGATCGTGTATTTCATATGTAACTTTTCTATTTGTATATTTTAGCAAACAGATTGAATTATTATAAATCATAGAGGAAAAATTGGTCAGTTTCACGTTGTTGTTTTTTTAATGTAACTTGAAATATTTGGTTTATTAATTAGTAACGAATAGACTGTTTTTCATACGATATATATATATATATATATATATATATATATATATATATCTGGAATCACTGGACGGTTGTTTCGTCGTATTGTGGGACTTGTCAGCGGTGCACATTCACGATCCCGCTTCTCGAGATTCGAACCTAGGACCTGTCGGTCTCTCACGCCAACGTTTAACCTTTAGACCACTAACTTCAACAAATCAACGAAATTGCGCCACCGTTCACCATTGTCGTCTGGCATCAATTAAATTTTGATCTCAACTATTGAAAATACTATGTCTACAAAAACCCCTTCTGATATATATATATATATATATATATATATATATATATATATATATATATATATATATATATATATATATATATATAATGGTGAATATCTATATCAACAATGACTGGAGTTATCCTCAATTGTTTACTATGAAGATGTCCAATGTAGTGTACGGAGTCTGAAATCCCCTATCAAAAATATATTTTTATCAGAGTGGGGGTTTGTAGAGAATATAGTAATTTAATAGTTGGATTCATTTAGATGCGCACTTCTGAGGAGTCCCACGCTAGGACGAAACAGCTATCCAGTGCTTTCAGGTTTTCCATGGTGGTCTGGCTTCAGTAGATTCATGCATTCGATTGTTATAAAGACATTTATCGTGAAAGTTATGGCTTAAAATGAAATGAATTACGGAAATTACGGTCTGGTATATAGCGACTACTGATTATAAATAAACCAAACATGTCTGAAAGTTACAACACACTTATTGAATGCTGCAAATAAACTCATCTTCCCCAATGAAATATAAAAAAGCATAATGGTTCCTAAGTATTTAGTTGAAACAAAAAGGAAACATGAGTTAGTGATTAAACTGAATGTGTAAATATCATTCAATTATATTAGAGATTGATTTCTAGAAAAGAATCTCCACCTTGTTATCACGTACAAGCTCGATTAGTATAATAAATAATGTTTATTGATAAGAATTAATGAAGAGATAAAATGTTCTCGGAAAATTAATGAATACAAATGAAATAACAATTAGTAATCATTTAAAAACCAGTTACTTGATTATTATAACGTTAGCAACTGAGTTTTATCAATTTTGAAATGTTATGTATAATGACAGTTTTGTTGAGGTACAGTATAATTGAGAGTGAAGAATTCCTCATGATAGACTAAGTGTTATTAGATGAATTATACACTGCATAATGACTTGAACTATCTTATCGAATATTGGACTACTAGAATTGACCAATTGTCAAAAGTAAATGATTTACGACTTTCGGAAACAAAGCTTATATCTAGGCATTTATTAACTCCCTAATTTTTGTTTATGTACATGTTGATAGAATCAGACTACCTGGTTAGTGTCTATATGATAACTGTGATCAGTGATGTTAAATAAATAAATTAAAATAGTGTATATTCATTCACTATCTTTTGTCATATCCCGATGAGAATAATGAGTGGTAACTGTTGAGATCTATTTCTGGACTATTACTATACGTATATTTTTATCGTATAATCGTTAATTAACTAAACTATTCATATTCGTGTTCCTCTTATCATAAGCTTTGTTTTAACCTATGAACTATTATTATACGATTTACCGTTCTTGAGTTATGCCCAGTCAGTTAATTACTATCTCCCACATTCACAGCTACATTTGGCTTAATCTTGTACAAGTGTTATTTCCTAATTTATGGTACGATGTGGTTTATTTGTTTGTTATATAAACCCAGTATGTTTGGAATAAATGATTCATATCACAGAGGCTGAGATTGGTGTTCTGGACTTAACTGGCTGGGCTAAGCGGGAAGCAGTACCGATAAAGACTTTAGATTGCTCGTACTTGTTTTATGCGTCATTGGTTCGGTCGATAAATTACTGTACTCTAATTGGTGGTATCATTACATTATGCATCAATAAGGACACAGGGCACAAGGTATAACATCTTAATACTGAGTTGAACACATCTTCATATTCACTCTTAGCGATTCCTTTTACTGGCGTCACCTACTACAATGAGTTTGATCCTTTTGTTACTCATTATGTTAATTACATCTTGCTTTGTTGATGTGTCATCTCAACGTGGAATAATACTCTAAGGTAAATCCTAAGCTCTACGTTGATTATGACTCGTTTTATAAACATTCACCAAACGTTTGTGTCATTTTATTTCCCTTATTTATAGAAGCAGTAAAATTAAAGTTAGATGTTATACTTTCAGGTCATAAAAAACAAGACTTAACGCGAGGAAATGTAGGATTTTAACTGTACTAATTTTTTTATCAAATATAGAAATGATTTTGAATAAGCTTTAAGGTGAAACTATAATTTATGGACGAACTTTGAACGACGGTAGAATGACCTTGACAGTGTTCACTTAATAACCAGGACTAAATGAGGGATATCAACCTGTCACGATTGATTGATCACTGGGTGGTGATCAATTTCATGCGTGTCAAGTCCTTATTTAGTGCAGATCGAATGCTATCGACCAAATTGCAATGTGGCCACCAGTCTAGGTGACTCGACAGTGCGGGTACTATATATTGAGATTAGGTGCTGGTTGGAGGTAGTCAACAGGATAGCATTCGATCTGCACTAAGAAGGACTTGACACACATGATGTTGGTCACCACCCACCGATCAATCAATTGTGATTACATCTCAGTCCTACAGGAGGTCAGTCGCGGCCGGGATAGCTCAGTGGTAACGTCTCTGACTGTGAAGCTGGGTGACACGAGATCGAATCCTCCAGGGAGCACCAGTTCCCTCAAAATTACAGGTACACCTTGCTGACGAGTGCCAAATAGCACGAGACCCGGGTCTAGGGTTTCCTGTCGACTACCTCCAACCACCATCTAATCTCGATATGAACCTGTGTCAGCAATTAGAGTTATAATATACAGTTGATGATCAAACTTAGAAATTAGATTTCGGGTTTTCATCACGAACTAACATCAACTATAATGTCAAAACTTTATTTAGCCAAATGGATAGGTGAATTTCGCGCCAAAATCTGAGATTTCTTATCCTAGATTTGATTGGTTCATCTATAAATTATAGTCTTTCCAGATTTAACATTGTCAGTAAACTATTTTGAGTTCCGTTTTCACTTCCAAAGAAATTATCGATCAACATGAAACATTTATCAAGTCAGTATCAGTAAACTGTAGTATAAAGTAAAGTAATACCATCAATTGATAGAACAATTAAGTCATCATCTACTCTTTAGGATATTGTAAATGCATTAACGTATTCACTAAATCATTAAATCGCAGGTTAAAATCCTAACCTAAGCCATTATAATTTGTATAACTGAACAGTTCAAGTTAAACCTACGAATTGGTACTATGTAAAACACTGAGTGAATAAATGAGATTTAATTGTTGAACAATCAATCAAATGAACAAACAAACAAACAAAGGGGGGTGGGGGAAACTCAGCAACATTCTATTCAAATATCAATTGTAGGTAGATACAACATTGTTTATTGAATTGATAACAAAATAAATCACATAATATGAAATTACAAATTATAAATAATAATGAATCTAAAGTCCAATTTCAATAAAGAAAACACAAATGTTACATAAAATGAAAGAGAAAGGTAAATGTGAAAGAGAAACAAAAACAAAAACAAACAAAAAAACCCCAACAATATTTTAATTGTAAAGGGATAATTAGATAAGACAAAATAATTTTCTTTCCTATTTTTAGAAGAAGAAAAAAAAGAAACCCAAAACTGTAATACACATGGTAGTGATTATTGATATATTAGTTCTATGCATAGTATTCACCAATGAAGATGATATGAAGAGAGAGATAGAGGGGTGGAAGAGGGAAATTAAGCTGAAACAGGACTATTGGTAAAAACAAGAACATGGGTTAAATTGTTAAATTCATAATCACGATTCATTGTTAAATCATGAATGCATAAACCGGAAATCATCTGATACAAAGAGAGAGAAAAAAAACCGTTAAACAACAGAAAAGACTATTATATTATCATCATCATAAATGAATAGTACATCACTTAAATTTGTAATTCAGTACAAGTTTATTTACTCAACATTGAGCAACGTATATACACATAGGCACACATTTCAATTGGGTACGAGATCGGTCGCTTAAACATAACTAAGTTGACCACAGTTCGAATCTATGATCCATCACTACTATCGCTAGTAGTCGTAGTATTAGTGCAAACAAGTCAATGGATAGAAGAAATCAATATTTAATATGGGAAATTACCAAGCGTTTATATAGTATCTGTACATAACTTTTGATGGTCCATCTGCATCATGCGGTGTGTTGTGCAATCTAAATTTTCTCCTTGTCTAGTCATTAAGTGTTCTGCCTATGGGACTCTTTCCATGTAGTGAAGTTTTTCTCTTCGTTTGACGACTAAGACACTTTCTTGAAAGTTTTATGATCAATCCAACTATACCGATATACATGGAAGTGTCTACACAATAAACATATATAAAGACAATTATTACATAATGATTTGTTACTTCTGAATCAGTGTACTTAATTCCTACCAACAATTAAAGACAAGTAAACGATGAAATCACAAGCATAATACCATCATTTCACTTGATGTTGTTTGGCTTGTATCTTCCCATTGAGGTTTAAGACTGCAATTGATCAGTCTGTTAGTGGCATATGTACATACTGTGCGTATGCCTCGATATCGCCTTAATTCACAAGCTTTTTGTAAGCAATGATAGATAGTGGCTAGCAGTGGAATCCAGGGCGCGCGTTTTGTCCTGAGTGGATAACGCGATGGCGTTTGAAGCGAATGGTACTGGGTTTGAGTCCCAGAGTAGACATCAACTCTGAGATGCAGGCTCATCCAGCTGACGAGTCCCAAAAAGGACGAAACGCGCGTCCTGGATTCCACTGCTAGCCACTATCCATCAATACCATCATTTTATTAGGAGAAAACTCAATATCACAATATCCGTTTGATTGTTACTAGTATCTTTTTTTCTTGATCAATTCGTCAATAAGACAACACAATCAATATCCATAGTATAAATAATACTCAGTGTTACTGATAATTGACAATGATGTCAGGCTGACATTCAAATACAAAACAATGGGTGTGTATTTGGAGGAGTGTAAAAGAGAAAAAGTGGGTGAGGAGAGAAGACCTGAGGTTATGTGGTAGAATGTAAAAATATAAAAATTTATGTTTAAATTCAGCCGTTGTTTACCATAACTTCTAAAACGTTTAAAAAAAGGAAACTAAATGTCCAAGTAACGAGGACACGAGAATATCTAATTAACCGATGAGACCATAATTTATGGAAAACGTCAAAGTGACTTTGAAAAAAGTAAGTCTATTACAAGTGTCGAACGAGGATTATAAATCAGTGTGAGTTGGGGATCGGAATTGGAGTTAAGGTTTTCATCACGAAAGGACATCAAATGTAATGCCAAAATCTTATTTAGTCATATGGGTAGATGAGCTTCGCACCGAAATACAAGACTCACTATACTGATTCGGATTGGTTCATCCATAAATTATAGTCTCATCAAATAGCTTAAATTTACTGGAGTGGAATTAAGATGAAGTCAACCGTACATAGGACTAGTGTAAGACAGCAGGTGTTAACATTGTGTGATCAATAAGAGGTTTTCGCCAAAGATTTTAATTCAATGCAATTCCATGATTGATAACCACAGCAGGACAATTTGAATGTAATAAAATTTCAAGTCAAACTACAAGTGCGAGCTTGAGCGAATCGTTAAACGACTGTAGCAGATTCTTAGCTGATTTAGTCAGTCAGTCAGTTACAACGTAGGACCAGGCACATATATGCATCGGTCCAAGTTGCCATACCTCATTAGCACAGCAAAATGAACAGCGGATTCATAGGAGTGGTTAGGTCAAAGGTGGTAATATATAGGAGAAAGATTGCAATAAGGATATAGTATAGGAAGAAAGAATTAGTTCGTAGAAAGAAAGATATGAAGTGATTTTAATCTCTTAGTTTAAGGGAAGACAGGGAGTGTATGCATCGACGCCATTGTGATCGATTCTGAGCCATGTCACCAAGAGTCTCCAACCATTGGTTACGAAAGTCACGCGGACCCCAACCACGTAGTCTGCATCTACCAACATGGCTCAGACTGGAAGTTAGTGACTTCAGGCACTGATGCCACGTTTTGGTTTGGCTGCCCCTAACTTTCTTCCAACCATCTCCAATACCGGATAGCATTGCACGTCGTGGTAGTCGGTGTTCAGGCATACGTAACACGTGGCCCAACCATCTCAGTCGATGAAGATTCATGACCTCATCAACTGATTTACCATCAATATCTAATACCGTGTGTCTAACCTCACTATTACTTACCCGGTGATCCCAGCAGATGCCAGCAATATTTCTAAGGCATCTGTGGTCAAATACTAATAGCTTACGAGTGTCTTCTACTCTTAATGGCCATGTTTCGCTGCCGTAAAGTAAAACAGAACGAACTGCCGCGCAGTATACTCGTCCTTTTATTGATAGATGGATATCTCGCCTTCGCCAAAGATGACGCAAGTTGGTAAAAGCCAAACGAGCTTTTCGAATCCATGCTGAGATTTCGTCAGACACCAACCCATTAGGGCTGATCAGACTTCCAAGATAAGTGAAGTTGCCAACGCGTTCGACTACTTCACTCCCTATCCTTAGTTCAGGTGTTGACGCAGACCAGTCCTGAAGCAACAACTTGCATTTAGAGGAAGAGAAGCGCATCCCAAACATTCTGGCATTGTTGCTTAGTGCTACCAAAAGACTCTGCATTTAGTCAATTAGAAAATCATTAAATCTGAATGAATGATTTATAATGCTGAAATTAGAACTCAGAATCAACTTCGGGGTTTCATTACCAACTGACATTAACTATGATTTATAATGCTACAAAGAAATTTTCGATTATGGTTGATATCAGTTTGTGATGAGAACCTTAACTGTATTTTGAACCCATTAAGTGGTTTAAATTTTCAGATGTCACTTTAAAAATCGTTTAAGGCCGTAAAAAACATCATAGCGTTAATGATAAGATTTTTTTACTGAGTTAAAATATTCGGAATACAATCAGTGATCAACAGTTCTTTAGGAAGATTCCTCTATTTCAATCTCCATTGACAATATGCTATTTCGATATATGTACCATAACCTTGAAGCGATTAGCAAGTTCATCTTTGCCTCGTCCTCATAATTCAGGTTTACCACACAATTGAGATTATTTATGCCATTAAGTTCAATCACATAACATTTAGTTGTAAGGTGATGTTGAAACGTAAGCGATTTTAGCTTAAAGTGAATATATTATTCGACCATTATGGGTAACTTAAAGCACGTTTTAGTAAATGTATGTAATTACTGGTAGCCTCAGATCATGTAACAGTAGAGTCATCCTTTAGCAAATGTACGAGAAATCAAGTTAATCAGTTTTTAATACTAAACGGACTGAGATGAAGAGGATTACAACATAGATATTCACTAACTGTTAACCAAGATGTGCAGTCAATCAGTTACTATGAAATGAAGAGCATAAAATAAATAGCCATCTGTTCAAGTTGTCACATCAAATGAAGGTGATAAAGAAACGTTATACGCTGACCAAATAATACAGGAAGAGGGGGATGTGCGACAACCTGACTGTTTCAATCGAAAAGTGTTGAGGTGTTTGAACTTGTGACCTAATAATTATGAGCCGGACTTTTTAGCCATTAATCCCCACATATGTAATTCCAGCTAAATTACAAGACAAGTAGAGAATATTTCGGTAAGATAAAACTAGATAGTTGATTTTTTTTGATGATTATAATTTCGAGTCGATAATAACAATCTAAAGTGAACGATATCAATTATGTTTTGAAAACTAAACTATCTTTGTTCTAATTATCACTGAATTACTATTTATTACATAAACACAATTAAAAGTTAAGATCATGAGTCAATTGAAGCTAGACCATCATGGAAAACCTGGAAGCATTGGGCAGCCGTTTCGTTCTATTGTGGGACTCCTCAGTAGTGCGGACCCACGATCCCATCTCGCGAGATTCGAACCCAGGACCTATTAGTCTCACGCTCAAGTACTTAACCTCTAGACCACTCAGCCGGCCGGCATCCAACGGTGTTAATATCTAACTTCCGACTAATCTCGCGAGACGGGAGATCATGGATGAGCACTGCTGAGGAGTCCCACAATAGGACGAAACGGCCGTCCAGTGCTTCCAGGTTTTCAATTGTGATGGTGTATCATCAATCGGTTCATGATCTCAATCAAAAAATTATTTTTAAGTGGAATTACATATTGATTCTTCACTGTAAACTAAGTTAATAAAAATATACCCAATACACTAAATTCATTTACATAAACAGAGGGGATTAGATATAGAAATGTGTCCAGTATTGGGGGTGGAGGGTAAATATTACTAATAAACTTTATGTAATGTATATGTGTATTTAAGAGATAATTTTCGATCGATTTCATTAGAACAAAATGTTATGACCTTTATAGATACGTGTAACAAGTATTCATTATAAAAGAAAAATAACACAACGACGACGACAACAACAACAACAACAACAACAACAGACAACTAACAAAAAAAAATCATAGAGAGCAACAAAACTACATATTTTAATTTACTAATCTGTAATTCACTTACATGTAACCCAGGTAATGTAGCCATTAAATTCAATTCAAATGGAATACATTGACCAGGTAATAATTTGCCAAGTTTTTGTCTAGTTTTACTTAACCAAACAATCAATGGTAAATAACTATTTGTTAATTGAATTGAATTATTATTATTATCATTATTAGAGGTATTTTCATTTTCATTGATGATTGATTGAATTGGAATTGAAGAAGTACCATTGTATTTAGTTGAACATAAACTAAGTATTAAGTCTAAATTCGATTTACTGTATGAGTAATAAAAAACAAACATCAAAATGAAACAAAAGTTAAATTATGTATGATAAGCAAATGAATTGAGTTAAAGATTATAACTGAACGAGAGGGGAACTGAAGAAATAGTCAATTAGTTATATCATGTTAAGCTAGAGAAATTAAACTATCACTATAAATCCTAGAGTAGTAAGAATTAGGAACATAGTGGTGGCAGAGAAAATTAGACATTCCAGAAAAAAAGAATAAGCTTATGGAATAAAAATGAGGTAATTTTGAAACTTAAAATCTAGTTGGAGATAAAGAATGAATGAGAAAACCCCATTGTGTTCGACTTTAAGTCATGTCACCTAACGTTTTCAAATATTGGTTACGATAATCGCGCCAACCCCAACTAAGTGTAGTCTATATCTATTTACATAACTAAGTTCTAATGTTAATGACTTCAGAGACTGACGCCATATTTTATTTTAGTTGCTACTAGCCTTATTCCAAACTACCATGACAGAAGCCAGCATCGTGCGCCGAGGTAGATGGTGATTAAAGTGAAGAATTTAGAGAACAAGAAAATCAAAAATGTGAATATCGATGTTTAAACTGGATGGAAAAAGTGAATGAAGTCAACTTATAACATGATAACAAGAATCAAATGTTAATTGTGGAGGATTGACATTCACTAGTCCATTATAACATATTAGGTGGGGACTTTAAAAAAAAGTAACTTAAAGACTTGGAAACTTATCAAGAAGTTATCTCACAAGAGAAACAATTGATAATTCGTCTACAAGTTTCTATTGTACTCTTCAAAACTTTAAAATGGACCTTCTCAACTGAAAGAAATCTATGTAGATTACTTTCCTCAATGAAATGCATTTCATTTACTAAATATAATCCTTCCTTACCTACCTGTATTGGTTGAATGACATTTCCCCCTCCTATTTCATAACATTTATTACATATTCTATATTTCATGTGGGGTAAGTTCGTTCGATTGTATTAGAAACTTTTACGTCATAATTAGAAAAACATAACAGTTCAACATCATATAATTATTGCATTATTTCATGATCAATACGTTTAGATAGTGATATATAACAATTGTAATCTCGTAAAAGCAATTTTCAGAAAAGCCAATCTCAGTAATACATACTGGATAATTCATGGATTCTGAGAAACTTCCATCTACATATCAATAATATATTAGAGCAAGGAAGTTGTGTACAGTGCCCAAAATAATTTCACCTCAACCAGTGTCTTTTCAGGTAAATTTCAATTTTTACATGAACGCTTCAGTTGATGAGTCACAGATAGGGCGAAACATGAGTCCTGGATTCCATAACTAGTCAACATGTATCTCTGCTGCTAACAATACTTGTGACTTAATGAAATATTGTAGCGATCTGCACAATATACACATATACCAATAAGAAACTGATCAACTGCAGTCGTAAACATCAGTGGGAAGATCCAAATTTCCACGTTTTTATTTGATTTCAGAGTTCAGTTGGGAAAAATTAACAAGAGTTTAGAAATCGGTCAAAAAATTGATTATTTTAAGCATTTGACTCTTATAATCTTAGATGTCAACAATCTATACAATAAAAGTTCATTAAGTTCCACTGGACTCGAAATATCCCCCTAAAAAGACGATCCCCTGGCTGTACGAAATTTACATACGAGACATAACATGACTAAATTAATGAAAAAAAAAAACAATTTAATACTAAATTGGAACAATTACAGTATTTGTTACAAGTAGACTCTTCATCAAAGGGTTTGGTAAATTACTTTTTTGGCGTTAATCATAGAGTAAAGGAACAAAGAGAAAACTAGATATATTTCATATGAGTAAAAATGTTATTCCTCCTTTCAATGATCACCCTTATTATTAGGGGCTCTTTTTCATTAGCCCTTTTTGAATGGATATTTACATAAAGGCATAATTATGTATATAGAGTCAACGTACTTTAGATCGATTAGTTAACGTCTGTCAAAGTAATTTTATAACTAACCGGAAAGAGAATGAATAATAGTTGTATATAGTTACATTAAGTGAATAATCCCGGTAAACACCAGTTGATATAATCAATCAATAAATAACATTTAATATCATTAACGTTCTTATCATTTTCAGTAGTTATAATTGACAAGAGTTAAACTACTATTCAAAATAATAAAGTATGTGATATACCTGCAATTAGTTAATTCAAACTTTAATGTGAATGGTTGTTCTGTTGTCACAATGGATGGAATAGTTAAAACCCTCAATTGAATATCACCAAAAGTAGGAAGCTGAAAAGATATGGAAAACAGAAAGAAGTGCTTTCATTTGAAAAAAAATTCTTGTCCAGTTTCATTGTTAATCCATAATGAGTTTCAAGTAGAGATATTACATTACATAAGTTATAATTGAGTTGTTTTTAATGCTGATCTATTGGATAGTAAGGATTCCCGCCCAAAACATTTATTACTATCGATTATATCATAATTTTATAATTCTAGCTTGATCATAATGTTATCTTTGGCAAAACGAGAGCTTTACTTTCTCACTAGAACACCTATATAACAACTACATTTCAAAATAAGAAAACCAGAGCAGTCTCATCTGTTTGACAAAAACCAATACAGAATACATTTACATCAATAGCAAAATGAAGTTCATTTATACTGAAATGATCAGTCAGTCACAATGTAGAACCTACACGTGTGCACATCGATCCAAGTTGCCATACCTCATTAGCACACTGAAATGAAATTGTCAGGCCAAATCAAAGAATAGTGAAAGTTGTAACAGTATCAGTAGTAATCGAAAAGATTAGGCACGGAAGATAGGAATCAAAAAAGAAATATAAATTAACGAAATAAAAACAGAAAAATTATGAGATTAAGGATGTCAGAATTTCGGAGAAGACAAAGAGTGGATGCATCTGCGCCATTGCAAAAGACTTTGAGCTATGTCATTCAAAGTTTCTAACTATTGGTTACGATAATCACGTGGAACCCAACCAGGTGGTCTATACCTATTAACAGGGACAAGTCCAATTGTCAGTAACTTCATAAGCTGATGTCGTCTTTTAGCTTGGCCGCCCTTAGCATAACAAAAAATCAATAAATGAACAAAAATAAGTGGATAGGAGTAAAAAGAAAATAATGGAAGAAGCAGTTCAATTTAAAACAAATACAACCGGAAAGAATTTTTCCCGTTAAAGAAGCTCCTCTTACTTTTATAAAGTAAAGGAAAATTATTATAGGACTGTTACTAGTTTCAATTCCAAGTTATGTTTGATAATATCTTAAGCCACTGAGTTGTAGAACCCCAACAAGGGTGTCGTGAAGGACAGACAGATGCCAATCCTGTACAGCTTTCTTGCATGTCTGGAACCTATCAATTGAAGTTTTTAAACTGTTCTAAAACCTATTGCGTACACAGGAGGAATTATGCGAAAACTAATTCGGTGAACGAATAGAAGTTTCTATAGTGAAGTGTAGCGGTGAGAGTATCATAGGTTATATTGAACTGTGGGATGGAATTTCATTGAATGATTGTCACGAATAGCTTGTTTGAATCTTATTTCGACCTGCATAAAACGGATTTTTGACTGGATGTTTTACGTCGGCCAATACTAATTTAATTGTTTTGTTTAAATAGTAAGAATACAACAAACTATCATTAGAATATTCTACGTTCATAACTCTGCATTGTGATATGATGATATTTATATAATCCATTTGTTTGGTAATACATGAAAACGTATCACAGTCATTCAATTAGGAATGATTGAATTATCCCGTTGTTCATATTTTTGACGGAAATTAGGTCGATCTTCTTTAGCATACGTCCATCCTATATGGATTGCCTCGATATGGTCATTATGACAATTTAGTATGGAATAAATGGACTATGACAGGAAGTGGAATCCAGGAGTGTTTTATCCTATTTGAGACGTGAACATCAAGCCTGTAATGGAATTATATCCAGCTGGCGGATCCAAAAAAGGACGAAACATTATTATTATTATTATTATTAGCTTTATTCAATATTATAATTTTGGTACAATATAGAATTCTCAGCGCAAAGTATTTCAACAAGTTTCCGTTTCTTTCTTCTTGGTCGGTCCTGGCGATAAATATTGAGGAATCGCCAGTTAGATGTTAGCACTTCAGTGAATGAACAACTGAATAATGTACATTCTTTTCGTTGTACATTGCCAGCAACCATATGGTCTCTTATTGAGTTTTCTGTAACTTTGACAACGAAAGGTTGTACACTTTTCAGAAACGCAGCAGAATAGGTTATGCGATTAATAAACATAATGATATATTAAAACAAACAACAATAGATAACTTGTTGAAATATCTAGATGGCAGGAACAGGTAGCCCAGATGCTCATGCATCCCGGATCCCACCGCTCGCTACATTTCATTTATTCTCTACTAATTATAACAATAATTCATCCAAAAGTATCGATTCAAAACTATCGAACTAACTTCGTATTTTAAAGAACTTGTTTGTAAGCGTCCTCTTTCACCCATAAGTGATCTCCATGTAATATCTAGACGTCCAGCTGATATTGACACTTGACGGGTAGTTGTGGAAGAAACTGGAATTGGATCAGGCACAGTTGAAGTTGGTATTGATGAATTGGTAGATGATAGATTTAATAAAGGCGATGAATTGGTTGTTGTCGGTATTAAACGGTATAAAAATTGTTGCACATCATTCGGTTGTAAATAATACGTTGGAGTGTTAGAATGAGATCTGAGAAACGAGGCAAACATATCAAAGTGAATGAATACTGCAGACGCTTCATTATTATCATCTATTTAGATTAAGGTCGACTTAAATCAATGGTATCATAACTATTGAATATCAATTTATGATTAAATAGTACAGGAAGAGTTGTACGACCTAAAATGATACTTGATATAGGATTTATTTTCTGTAATATCATGCAACTGCAGAATGTACAAATGACTGAAGGGGCTTCGATCACTAGTGGGACATTAGATGTCCACTGCTGAGACGTTCCGTACCAGGAGAGGATAACTGTCAAGTACTTTCTCGTTCTCAATGATTGTATAACTAACGTCGATCTGTGAGAGTTAATAGAAATCATAAAACTACACATGGCTTAGCAGACAGCATCATTCATCAAATAACGATATAACCATTATAGAACAAGCTAGCATAGAATAGATGGATTAAAGTTAGCAGTGTAATCCATGACGTAATTTCGGCCTTGTTTGAGATTCGTTAGCTGGATTTACTTGCATTCGTGTTGATATTTACGCTAAGACTCGAACCCAGTACCGTTCACTTCAACGCCAATGTGTTACCCACTTAACCACATTGCGTTTGCTTCCTACTAACTTGTGTCATCAAAGCTATACCGAGGTGACTCGCACAGAATGCACATATATCAGCCAAGACTGATAAACTTTCAGTCAAAAATATAGACAAATAGATAATTCCAATCCATTACAGGTTGAATTTAAACACATAACCGTTTCACAAGTGGCTGTTCGAAATCAATAGCTATGTGGATAACACGATGGAGTTTGAAGCGAACGATAATAAACTCAAATGGTGGAATAAGTATCAACTCTAGGATGCAAGTGCATCCATCTAACGAGTATCGAATAAGATAACATATGCATCCTGGATTGCATTGCTAGCTATATGGTATCTATCCCACCTAAATGCATAGTCCTAGGAATATCTCTCCAAAAGAAATAACAAACACATAATAGAATACTTTGATTTCAATCAATCATTAATGTCAATCGAATCAATTCATAAACAAAAGAACACAAAAGAAAAAGGAAAAATTACTTTTTACCAAACTGTAAATTATTTAAATCAATCACACTGAATTGAGGATTTGATTCGAATAAAACACGTTCAAGTATAATTGGTGTTACAGTGAGATTTTGAATTTGTGTCTCCATAAGTACACTATGATCAATCTAACAAAACAAAGTGGATAGAATAAGAGAGAAAGAGAGATGAATCTGACATTGATAATCAATCATGAAGATGTATTACTTTGTTTGATAAAAAAATACATGTACACAAGCTCATAATGAAACAACTTTGCCTTAAAGCAACATAGATTAACCTTGAGATGTTCTGAAATTAGCAAACTAAAAGTGATAATGATCAATTAGACAATATAGTATTCGTAAGAACTAGAACATTATCAACTTAATTATCATTAAAAGAAAGAACTTAAATATTTACTAGAATAATGAACAGCACGTATTGATCTTAGAAAACTAGGGATCAGTAAATAGCTATTTCGTCGTAGTATAGGACTATTCAGCAGTGTGCATCTACAACTTTGTCAGGGACCGAACACCTGAAGAGTCTGATATTAGGACGAAACAACTGTCTTCCTAGGTTTTCAATGATTGTATGGTTAGTCCGTAATGTCAACAATGTAAATGTAGCGATCTCCATAAACTCCCCTATATGAATAACATTAACAGGGAAATAATTGGACATCTTAAGAATATTCAGAAAGCAACTTCATTATGTTGAAAAGCCTCTAAACCTTTAAGATTGAATGTAACTCTGTGAATACTCTTTATTTTATGTAATTGAGTTAACAATGGAAGTAATGTTTACTTAGTATGTCTCCCTTTTTGTTTTAATTCGGGTTTTAAGTGCTGAAGATTATGGGAGTCTAAAAGTCGATACAGAAGTCAGTTTCTCAAGAGTTCAGTGTTTAGAACTTATGAAAAAGTTCAACAAGAGGCTAAAACCAATAGTCAATAACTACATGTGATGTACTGATTTAACTTTATAAACTAACATACTACTATAATAGCCAAAATATCATTTCTGGATAAACAATAACAAGCATTTCAGTGTCATCAAACGTTAACTTCACTTTCGAAAAACCCAACGCCAAAAGAGATTAGCATAATTCACTGACCTCTATTCGTAAGATTTTGTTAGGGCTCAAAGAGACAGCCGATTATATGACAGTGACTTATCGATAGGATCAAGGATTCAGAATCTCGATAGTCTATTCTGGTCCGTTGTCCCCAACTCTGCTAACTCGATCAAAAAGTCTGGGTAAGGTGTAGAAAGTGTATTCTACAGACAAACAGCAGATAACAAGTCAGGCAGGCAGATCAGACCAAGCATACAAGTCAAGCGTATTTATACAAATATTTACAATCGATATTGTCATGGAAGATTTTTGAACATTAATCAACAATTGACTGCTATTTGAACATTTAATCGATAGTTCATCAATTGACCTATTTGTACATTTAATCGATAGTTCATCAATTGACCTATCTGCACATTTAATCGATAAGTAAATTACAAAATTTGAGTTTTGGGGATCTATCGTCCCCAACAGATTTACAAAATAAATATTTGTGATTAAATACATGCAACGAACATGTATTTCACCTCCTACCTGAAGTTGTCGCACGTTCGAAAAATAATACAAAGTGGATCTATATTATGATTAACTAGATATTGTATCAGAATCATATTTTGAAAAAGAGAATCGACATTGTTGTTATTAGATGACGGTTGCAGGTAGTTAACAGGAAACCCTGGACCCAGGTTTCGTGCTACTTGGCACTCATGAGCAATGTATACCTGTAGTCTTGAGGGAACTGGTGCTTCTGAGTTACCCAGCTTCACAGTCAGAGACGTTAACACTGGACTATCCAGGCCGTAACCGACCTACTGTAGCACTGAAATGTAATCACAATTGATTGATCAGTGGGTGGTGATCAAAATCATATGTGTTAAGTCCTTCTTAGCGCAGATCGAATACTATCGACCAAATTGCAATGTGGCCACTAGTTTAGGTTGACTCGACATTTCGTGCACTATGTTGAGATCAGATGGTGGTTGGAGGTAGTCAACAGGAAACCCTAGACCCGAGTTTCGTGCTACTTGGTACTCGTCAGCAAGGTTCACCTAATATCTTGAGGGAACTGTCGCTCCATTGTTGTTATTGTATCTAGACTCTGTTACCTAACAACCTACAAAACTGATTCAACTCAAAAGATAAATACAGTACTCAATTGCCTCAATTACTCTCCTTATATACAAGTTTAGGCAAATTTATCTCAAACATATTTCCCTAGTCATTTAAGGAATTTTTAAATAAAAATAAAAATTATACAACGTATACAATAAAACATTTTACTTAAAGCCTATAAATTTAGAAAGTCATAAATAAATAAATAAAAATAACTTTTCTCTGATGTAATTAAATAAATCATTCAACCAAACAACTAAATAAACCCGACCGTTGTTCCTACCTTGACGTGGTGGTCGGGTTTGCCTATCGTAATGAAGCAATAGAACTAGAATGGCTACAACAATCGTTCCTCAAGGTCATACTATGTCAGACAGGTCGGTTGAAGAGAGTTAAGACTAAAAGCAACAAACCCAAGATCCGAAGGCGAATTCGTACTACTGACTGTACAGAGGTGTGATAACAGTAAGGTGTTTCCTCCAGACAACCAGCATGACAGAGATGTTGTCTTCCTACAATGATAGATGGGGTTAAAAAAAGGTAGACCCTAAAGATGCAAAGCTCACCTTATCCCACGGATATCTGTCTCCGGCGGCAAGGTCTCAACAAGTACGGAGCTAACACAAAAATTACCCATAAAAAGGTCGTGTGTGACCGACCCCAAGCAGTTGTCCCTTGGGGACTGCGGTCACGCTCTCAGGTCACTAAGGCCACCGCTAGTCCAATTTCCTTTTCAGGTACCTCCAAAGGGACCATTCCACGGTGTGGGCTACCGGGAAATGATAACCGCCCTCATACCTCTAACAGCACTCAAGACTGACTGACAATTAAATAAAAATACTCACTACCTCTCTCATTACGTAATAGTACAAACGATTTTTTACAGACATAGTAAATATATCCAAAACAGATTTGGAAAATTCTTCTTCTTCTTCTTATTATTATTATTATTATTATTAATGGTTCTATTTAATATCATATCTTTGGTACAATACAGAATTCTCAGAACAAAGTATTTCAATAAGTCTCCCTTTTCTCTTAGTCCTTAATCAATCCTGACGATAAAGATTGAGTGTTCACTAGTTAGATGTTAGCACTGTAGTGAACAAGAACATGAGTGGAGACAATCGAATGTATTTGAGCACAAAATTACAGAACATCTTACTAAAATCTGAGAATCATATAGTAAATCGTTAATTTGCAAAATATCAATCTATCGTCTCATACTTCACTGCTCCTTTTGCAAATATCAGTCCATTGTCTCAGATTTCATTGTTCATGCATTTTCATATCACTTGCGTACCGTTTCCGTTCTTTCTTTATCGATCTTCTGCCGTAATACATTCTCTGTCCGTCCACCGTTATATACTACTGATATGAATATAAGTAACCCACACCACAGTAGTTCAAGAATCGATAACAAAATAATGTTCATTCTTTTTATTGCATGCTATAATCAGCAACTACGATGTCTCTGATTGCACATTTTAGTAAATTGTACAATGAAAGGTTGTAAACATTTCATAAAAGTGACTGAGTAGGTTGATGATTATATTAAAACAAACAAGAAATCAGATAGCTTGTTGAAATGTCTAGATGACAGGAACAGGTAGCCCAAATATTCAAGCACGCCGCCAAGTCCTATATAACTATTATGTGGAGTACATGTTGACAGAAACGTTATTTAATAACGAGTTTATATGGATATAATTTAAATTGTTTTTCACCTTCTATAATATGCTTACAAATTTATTGAAAATGGATTATATTACCTAATATAACTAGGATTTTCTTGCGTGTAAACCAATTAATGAGTTAATTAATTTTAGGAAATTTATTTAGACTGATTAAATAATCATTCATTTTTTGTATTGTTTGTTTATATCTTTCCAATGATATTTAGGAGGGCAATTGATCAGTCTGTTATTGGGTTCAAGTCCTGCAGTGAACGTCAACTCTGCGATGCAGTTATATTTATCTGACAAGTCCAAGATAGGACGAAGTGGCGCGCGTCTTGGATTCCACTCCTAGCCATCACTGATCTTTGTTTATAATGATTAAATAAGATTTTTAACATTGAAATGAAATAAACTCTTATTGAATGATTAGGTCCTATTAATTTGAATGTGTAGGTAAAATATAATTGGCTTGTTAATTTAAGTCAAAAATTCAATTCAACATCAGTTAATCGCATGAAAAGACCAAAAGTGATAATCGAAACATCAAGTCAATTAGGTTAATATATGGCATTATTCCATGAAATTAACTTCACCTGGAGACCGTCTCGAATTACTGCTGGTCCCAAACCCAGGTAAGATAGAAGGAATTGGTGTAGGGTTAGCAACCCCAATATGCAATAGAGAACCTTGCTAAGATAAACAAACCAGAAAAAAATCTAAGTAATTTAAAATCTGGCTTAAGAGTTGAAGGATTACTTTCATATACAAGAGTTATGATGCTCCATGGTGAAAGCTGAGATTCTTTGAAAGCCACGAAGCCGATGCCCTTTCCAAAACCTATAGCAATAGTTAATATAGGTACATGGAGTGTTCGGATAATGTAAGGGATTGGGACGATCATTCGAAAACCTGCGAAAATGAAAAGATCCGACCTGGTGGTGCTTGGAATAAATGAAACCCATTGGACACAATCAGAACAAAATAAGAAATATAATCAAAAACATGGTTTCCAGTTACAAGCGATCCACAATAGGTTCTTAAATTCGAGTTAATACCTAACATTGGTTATCTCTCGGTTATCTGCTCGGTGTTCCAAGGTCGTCAGTATAATATATTTTTAGTATTTATGCTTCATTAGGTATACGAGTCAACTGCTGAATTATATATAGTAGTTTAGGAAACTGATATTAGTTATTAATATCACATTATAAGCGAAGTAGCAGCTTACTGGTTAAACCACTCAACTTTCAATTAACATGTCAAAGGTCTGAATCTAGCTCTTCAACAATGGCGTTCATACACAGTGTACAAAAATCTATACTTGATAAATAAGTCACATTGAGGCCTTGTAAATATTTGTTTTCTATTATGGTACTACTTTGGCATAGTTAAAGTTGGGCTTTACAGAGCAGTTTCACCCTAGTCAATATCATCACATCAAGTGATTTGTAGCAAAGTATGTGCAACTGATCCTACAAAAATGAGGTTAAAAGCTTAATGAATTCATGTTTGTCTCATAACCACAAACGATATTCATTCGATTTAAACACATAAAAATAGTACAAGGAGGCACCAAATACATATGCGCCACACAGATCTCATTTGATATGTATGAGGGCTGTGATACTGCCTGGGTGCCCAAACCAAAGCAGGTGGTTGTCTTAAGGGGCCACACCCAGAGCCTTTGACCTAAATGTCTGATCCGAAAGGCAGTGGAGCAACATCAGAAGATGCAATCCCATGGTAGCCGGTGACCAATAATTGGTTCATACGCCATTTGTTCCTTTAGGATACTGGAGCTTATTATGTGCACCATTGGTTTGGAATCAGGGTTTTCCAACTCTAGGTGGGCTCTCCGTGTCCATCAATCCGGCTACAGTGCCGGACATTTAATTTTCGTTCTCTCAATTTCGTAAAAAACATCCCCACCACGAGAAGGCAGTGACGTTAACTTCCATGCTCCAAACTTATGTGTATTTAAAATATATAAAGCTCTATAACTGTGGTTTTTAACACTTCAAAATTGAATATTAAAATGATGGATGCCATAAATATGACTACCTGACCTAATTTTCCACTAATATTAATAATGGCTGAATAACCTTAAAGGTCATACAAAGGAATGACTGACGCGAGTGGTTATAACAAAATAACGCGTTGGTTACTATGGTTAAATATAATTAGAATAGATCTTTCAATAGACACAACCAATTCGCTAATTTTCCCAGGAAAAAAGCTATTTACATCTAAACTACTAACTGAAAACGAAAGAACAAAAACTTAAAGAAGATATATAACTCAGTAATATAAAAAGCAAAGAAGAACAGGGAATTTTGGAGATGATGGAATTTTCATACTTCACATCACAAACTGATCTTAGTCCGAGAACGACTGATAGTCAAAATGCATATGGTAGTTGTTTCTTACTAGTATGGGACTGTGAAACAATGGGCGACCATGACACTACCGGCGACTGAATTCAGTCTCATACGTGAACAGTTAGACTATAAACTATTGTCGGATGTGAGACAGTTCTTCACCGCAGGCGATAGAGGATAGTCGAGCAACATCGCTTAATTATTGAAGTCAGATATATGGACCATTAGATTCCAGTTCAATCGTTTGAAGTTGACTAGCTGCCGTTATACCTGCTATTCATAGGTTCCCAGTAAAGTCACGGATGTGAACTGCTTAAGAGTCCCATACTAGGATGTAACATATCCGGCGCTGTCCAATTAAGATCAATCCGTGATGTACACTATCGAAAAAAAAACACTAATAATTTGAAATGAGTAAATTTATGTTTAACTAAATAGTGGATTGAACTTTCAACTAACATAGATTACATTTAAATAGTCATTAATAAATAAGGTAAGAGCGTTAAAGATTTCAGCTTAATGAAATAAACAATTAAGCTGAGGTAGAAATGACATAAATGATAGATAGACAGATATTTTTTGATCAAGTAGAATTAAATAATTTGGAAGTATGAAGTAATTTTAAAACGCTCTTACCTTATTTATTAATGACTATTTAAATGTAATCTATGTTAGTTGAAAGTTCAATCCACTATTTAGTTAAACATAAATTTACTCATTTCAAATTATTAGTGTTTTTTTTTCGATAGTGTACATCACGGATTGATCTTAATTGGACAGCGCCGGATATGTTACATCCTAGTATGGGACTCTTAAGCAGTTCACATCCGTGACTTTACTGGGAACCTATGAATAGCAGGTATAACGGCAGCTAGTCAACTTCAAACGATTGAACTGGAATCTAATGGTCCATATATCTGACTTCAATAATTAAGCGATGTTGCTCGACTATCCTCTATCGCCTGCGGTGAAGAACTGTCTCACATCCGACAATAGTTTATAGTCTAACTGTTCACGTATGAGACTGAATTCAGTCGCCGGTAGTGTCATGGTCGCCCATTGTTTCACAGTCCCATACTAGTAAGAAACAACTACCATGTGCATTTTGACTATCAGTCGTTCTCGGACTAAGATCAGTTTGTGATGTGAAGTATGAAAATTCCATCATCTCCAAAATTCCCTGTTCTTCTTTGCTTTTTATATTACTGAGTTATATATCTTCTTTAAGTTTTTGTTCTTTCGTTTTCAGTTAGTAGTTTAGATGTAAATAGCTTTTTTCCTGGGAAAATTAGCGAATTGGTTGTGTCTATTGAAAGATCTATTCTAATTATATTTAACCATAGTAACCAACGCGTTATTTTGTTATAACCACTCGCGTCAGTCATTCCTTTGTATGACCTTTAAGGTTATTCAGCCATTATTAATATTAGTGGAAAATTAGGTCAGGTAGTCATATTTATGGCATCCATCATTTTAATATTCAATTTTGAAGTGTTAAAAACCACAGTTATAGAGCTTTATATATTTTAAATACACATAAGTTTGGAGCATGGAAGTTAACGTCACTGCCTTCTCGTGGTGGGGATGTTTTTTACGAAATTGAGAGAACGAAAATTAAATGTCCGGCACTGTAGCCGGATTGATGGACACGGAGAGCCCACCTAGAGTTGGAAAACCCTGATTCCAAACCAATGGTGCACATAATAAGCTCCAGTATCCTAAAGGAACAAATGGCGTATGAACCAATTATTGGTCACCGGCTACCATGGGATTGCATCTTCTGATGTTGCTCCACTGCCTTTCGGATCAGACATTTAGGTCAAAGGCTCTGGGTGTGGCCCCTTAAGACAACCACCTGCTTTGGTTTGGGCACCCAGGCAGTATCACAGCCCTCATACATATCAAATGAGATCTGTGTGGCGCATATGTATTTGATGCCTCCTTGTACGAATATCTATGTGTTAAAATAAATAAATAAATAATAATATGGAGAGGGAAATAAAAGGAGTAAAACATACAAACAATAATTTACAAAGTGCATTTTATTTTACAAACTAGCGGTGCTACTAAAATGTGTCAAACAGGAGAACAAACAAACAAAAAATTATACAATCAATTTGATTAACTCTAATTACTATCAGCAAAAAGAAACATTTGACTTACATCAACTATTGAGAATTTCTTTCGAACATCCAAAGGTTTGTTGACCTATAAATATATATGTATTAAGAAATGATAATATTGCAAAGAATTGAAAAGAAATGCATTTCTACTGACTAGATTAGGAGAAAAGCAATTCCTTACATTAAATTTAATCTCAAGTACAATGGGAATTAAGATAGAATTTATTTTCGTCAATAGACATTTATAGTCGAATGGTAGCTCAGTAGTCAAGGTGTTCGACTTATAGTCAATTAGCTCTAAGCTCGAGCCCAACTCCATTTAGTGTGATTTGTGCAAACGGGTATTATCACTGGCCCTAATATTTCGATTGTGACCCGAAGTATATGAATCTGTACCTGGTAAATAAGTTATCAATTAATAACTATTAGTTTTATGAAAGTAGATAACCATTACCTAAAAAGAATGCTTCCAAAGTAAGTAGGACGGATTGTAATCGAATCGAGACTCCTGCACTCACATTATATTTGAAGAAGTCCAATACTAAGATGAGATAGTTGCTGTGTACCTTAGTTTTCAGTGATTATTCAACTTAGATCAGTTCATGATCACAAAAACATTCTAGCCTGGTTGTAATGTCACGGAGAAATAAATAACTGTACCAGTTCATTTGCACATGCTATTTTAACTGTGTTCAGTTATATGCATATATATATAGACTAGTCAGTACATGTGGCTGAATGGTATCGGTAATAATTCACTATATTGATAACCAAATAGAGAAATATTTTATTTGTGATAAGAAGCTGAGTTTAGAATAGTGAGAATTATATGAGCAGTTGAATTCATCAATGTACATGAACATGGATGTATAAATACAAACGACATCCTCTTCTAGGATTGTAAGATCCTGTTTCTGGAAACTTCACATTATTTTCTTTCAAATGACAGTTAAAGAATAACTTCCTTAATCAGTAGGTAGAACTAATTAATTCGTTTTCTTTTCACCAAGATTGTTTCAAATGAAAATTTTCTATTGATTCTCTTTCAATGTATTTGTGAAATTCCTTCAAATGTCCAAATGAAGGTCGTAAATTCAATGCGATATCATGTATGTGCACTTCTTCGAAAAATCTTGCATTAGAACGAAAGGGACATTCACTGCTTCTAGGTTTTCAGTAACAGATTAACAAAGATCAATTCGTATTTTTAAATTATGAAACATCTCCACAAGTCTTACCATACTAATTTTAAAACTTTAGTTTGACAGTTCTAATTCGATCAACGCTATACCTCAAAGTAACCTACCTAAAAGAGAAATTTGACTACCAGTGATTTAAGACTACAAATAGATGGTAGAATTCAGTCATTTCAGTTAATCGTTTATCAAGAAAAGATTTACGTATTCGTTTTTGTACCATACTGTTTCTATAAGAGCTAAACAAACCATCCGCCTACACAAATCAAAATGGTGGAGAAGATTTGTAGCTCAGGTGGATGATTTTGGTGGAGTTTTTTTCTCTGAGCTGGATGGTTTGGTTGTGCAGCTTTCATCGTTCTTCTGAACGACATCGTCAGCACAAACACTTCACTTCTACCTGAAGTTTGTGCTGGTGATGTCGTTCAGAAGAACGATGAAAGCTCCACGACCAAACCATCCAGTTCAGACAACAAAACTCCACCAAAAACAAATCAAAATATTTTAGGCGCGGTACAATCATTCAGCTTAACAAATAAACAGGATGAGTAATACATGAAACAATTGTTTACTTTCTTAGCTATTCGGTATCAAACTTGTTTATTGTAAATAAACAACTCTTATAAGAATTTGGAATTATAAAATTTAATAGCTCAATATATAAATAATGCTTTAACCTACCATAAACTTATATAAGCGTTGAAATGTAATTGGTTCACGTTTACTAATAGTATCACGAGATGAAACACCTAACAAAATATATAATGAAGATATTTTAAGGAGACAATCTTTTTCCAAAAGGAAGAAGTAATATTAACAATAGCAAATTACCAAATTACTATTTTTAAGTCAGTCAGTCAGCAACAACGTAGAACTTCGTACGTACATCAGTTCAAGTTGCCATACCACATTAGCACACAGATCCCATAGTGGTGGAGGTAGTAAACGTATAAGCAGTAATCGGAAAAATTAAAGTTTGAAGATGTTATTCAAGGAGTATAATCCATTGAAATAAATTTGGAAAGAGAAAAAAATGGGACATGAAGAATTCAGAAGATTAGAATTAGGGAGAACATTTTGCATTTCGAGGGGGGGGGATCGCATCCCGAACATTCTTGCATTGTTGCTTACAGTGGTCAGAAAGCTCTGCATTTTGTCAGCGTCTTCACCAAAAAGAACTATGTCATTGGTATATTCTAAGTCAACAAGTGATCTCCCCGGTGAAATTTCAACTCCTGGAACGATGTGTAACTAAAAATCTCATTTGTAATTTACATCCATATGTACACAGCAGTTAAAGTTGTAACAAATTAAATTTCACGTTTTATATAGATACTTTCCCTTTGCTTACTATAAGTATGTTGATTATGTACCATTTTGAAGCTAATTTATTGTGATACAATACACAAAAATATTGAATTAAGTTCTCAATGGAACTTAGCAACATTTTAGTTGATTAACATCAAGTGTTATTATATGAATTTGTCAACATGGTAAAGACAAGTATTATGATGAATTACCAGACCTCATAGACACAAAGTAATGTAAATTGACGAATAATAAGAGGAAATTCAGTGTAATAGTATCAATGATAGTCAAAAACATTTTTACAAAGAATAGATTTGCAATAAAAAAGTATAAATACAACACGACAACCAATTTTGGACCATGAAAATTAACATCCCATAATCATAAATAACCATTAGTTAAAAAAGACCGAACAGAACCCCAATGCATCTCTATGAAGTGGATCATACCCACAGTCGGTCAGCTGCAACGTAGGACCAGGCACATATGTGCATCGTTCCAAGTTGGCATACATCATTAGCGCAACATGATGAACACCGAACTCATAGAGACAGTTACAGGTAGTAAGTGGTAAAAAAGGGTCGCATATTAGGATATGGTACAGGGAGAAACAATTAGTTCGTCGAGGAAAAGATATGAAGCAATTTTAATCTCACGCTTTAAGGGAGGACAAAGAATGTATACATCTACGCCATTGTGATCGATTCTGAGCCATGTCACCGAATCTCTAACCATTGGATACGATAGTCGAACACATCGACTACTTTACTATCTATCCTTAGTTCAGATATTGACGTAGGACAGTCCTGAAGCAACAACTTGCATTTAGAGGGTAACAAAGGCATTCCAAACATCCTGGTATTGTTCCTAAGTGCTACCAAAACACTGCATTTTATCAGCGTCATCACCAAACAGGTCTATGTCATCGATGTATTCTAAATCAATAAGTGGATCTCCTGGTTTGAGATCGATTCCCGAAAGTTCAAACGACGAGAACGTTATCTCCAGCAGTAGATGTATGATGAAGTTGAACAAAAATGAAGATAGTAGACAGCCATTCCAGACACTACTTGAGGTTGCCAAATCAGGTGACAGTTTGCCATAACCTCTGACTCGACTAGTAGCGTTCAAGTAAAGATCCTACAGAAGGTTTATGTACTTTTGAGGTACGGCTTCCAATGACAGACAGTGCCACAGAACCGAAAGTTAATAAACTCACTGAACTGACATTTTGTCTTTATCTGGTTACCACTAGTCTTTTTTTAATTCACTGTATATCATACTAACAAGTATAAGAGGTTGAGGTAAACAGCGTAACACATATTCAAAGCATCTTGAAGAAACTGTTGCTTCTTGGCGGGTTCAATCGATAGAATCTGATCAGTACTAGGCAAGACTTGACATATTTAACTCAGTGATCAATCGTAGACGCAAAATTTAATTGAAATATGAATGGGTCGTGAGCTTAGTTCAAATTGAAAGCTTCAATTATCAATAAGTGCACAGATATATTTGTACATGTAAGATAACAATAGATAAACACTAACCTGATGTTAACCGTGGAGATTCATATGCTACCACATGCGATGAACTTTCTGATTTACCGTGAGAACTAGTTTGAAAATATGAGACCGTACATCGCAGGTTATGAAAGCCTAATTCTTTCAATTCATGACTGATAATCGCATTCAATGATTGTCCTGGTTGTAAATCAAAAATACTATCCTTAGTATTGATTTCACCAGCATTATTACACAGACCTGGAGTTGTATGAGTATTTGATGATTCTGAATTTGTTGAAGAATTACGTGAACCAACAGTACTATTAGAATGACCACTTAAAGAAGTGAATATCGGTAAAGTGATCGATTCGATACGGTTATGAAGAGCAACCTACATATTTATAAAACGAATGTAATCAATAAAATATCGAAGGAAAACAATACATAGTTACAGGAAACAAGTCTGATGATTATAGTTTACGCAGAAGGTGATATCATCGATTAGACAATCACAAAGAAGTATCTATTTGTAATAAGAATCTCTAGCATAACACATATCCAATCCACCTTAAAATTCAAATAAATAAGTCGCTTAAAATTTAAACCAAAGAGTTTCAGATTAGTTTAATCAGTCAGATAGTAGATATTCGATACAAAAACTACAAAAATATTATCAAAATCTTCAATGAAGATAAAGACTGAAATAAAATACACAATTCATGAGCTTCGAGATAACATGACTAACAAATTGAGATTGATCAATTTAATTGCATTTTTTCTGACAAACATCTCAGTTGTGACTTTGGCATATGAGGATCCAACACTTTTTCGCAAGGGAGGATGAACTCGAAAATTTAAAATCCGGATATCAACTCCGGATCTTCAAAAAAGGGTAGGTGTTGTATCCCGACAAGAATAATGAATGATAATTTTTTGAGATCCATTTATGGACCAATATTACGAGTATATTTTTAATCGTATAATTGTTATGTAACTAAACTGTTCATATTCATGTCCCTCTTATTGTGAGCTTTATTTTGAAAACACAATTGTATGAACGAAGAATATTCTTTTCAATAAATTTCTCATCCGGTTCGACAATTATAAATCCAGATTAATAATCCATAAAATTGGTCAGATTTAAGGCAGAGAGTACATCATCGTTTGGAAATTGTAATATGTAAATCAGGAACTGTTTGTTATATAAATAAAATCGTTAATGTTGGGGCTGACTTATATGAAGTTGTTAACTTGAATCAGTTTATAAGTGAAATGAAATCGTAAGATAAATCATGATCAGAATAAATATGGTCAACATAGGGTAAGAGAGAGAGAGCGAGAGAATATTGTGATTACAAATCGGAAATTGAGTAATATGTAAAATAATCAGGTCAAATATAGTAGGTTCAGGGGTAGATATTGAATAAATTCCTCAAAAAGGGTTTATCAAGTGTAGAGACAATAATAGTAATAATAATAATAATAAGTTTGAGACATAAAATGAACATTAATCAGATTATGTCACCACATTATAAGATTGATTATTAGCTAGTTGGCCAGGGTAAAAGGAGAGGCTGAACATACTTCTTTTAGACACAAAGCTCTGGTTTTTTGATCCGAATAGCAATTGCTTCAGCCGTTTGTAGGATTCGCAGTCTGACGGAATTAGGTAGACTACTGTTGACACGATAAACTATTGCAAAAGATTGCTCCATGTTGGCTGTATGTCCTGTTTGGACTAAATGGTCTAAGATGGAGCTGTTAACAGTTTTGACAACACCTTTGCTTAACCACACGGGTAGGTGCTCACGAGCCCGAATGTACAAATTCCTAGAACATCTCCCAATATAACTTGCTCCACAGGAGCAGTTGAATTGATAGATACAGAAGGAGGTGGCTAGTCTAGGTAATTTATCTTTCAACCTCGGGGTGATTATTGATCGTGTGGAGAATACTAGTTGTAGTTTAGCTGCGTTAAAAGTCCTTTGAATTGATCTACTTAACTTAAATCTTAACATTTCACTCGGCGCGTCGCCTCTGAATTGTAAGCGTATATATAGAGGCTTTCTATTTACCGTTGGACATTCTCTACGCTGTCTTTTATTGGCTAAGTTTTTATTTATAAATTCCTCTGGATATCCATTTTCTTTCAGGGTTGTAAACAATGTCATTGTTTCATCTTCAATCGTATCCATAGTGCATATAGTCTTGATTCTATGATGTAGTGTCTTGATAAGGTTCCTTTTTTGTTGTAGAGGAACGAAACTGAAAAAGTTAGTATATTGACCCGTCCAGGTCATTTTCCTGTTTATGTTTCTTTTTAGCGATCCATCTTTTCTCCTTGTAAACAGAACATCTAGGAAGGCTATTTTACCCCCATTTTCTTTCGCACATGTGAATTTTATGGACGGGTGAGCTGTATTGAATTGCTCGAGTGTTCTTATCAAGTCCGTATGCTCGTTATTTTGACCTATGAACTATTATTATACCATTTACCATTCATGGATTATTCCCTGTCTGTTAATCGCTACCTCCCTCATTCACACCCACATCTGGCTAATTCTTGTACAAATGTTGTTTCATATTTTATTGGTACATTGTGGTCGGTTTGATTGGTATATAAACTCAGTATGCTTGAAATATAATGATTCATATCTCAGAGGCTGAGACTTGCGTTCTGGACTCAACTGGCTGGGCTAGACAGGGAAGCGGGACCAATCAGAACTCTAGGTTGTTCTCACGTGTTTACGCGTCTTTGGTCCGATCGATAATACGCTGCCGTCAAATTTGCAGCCACAGTCACAACAACCTTTAATATCAAGAAGCTACACAACACACAGAAGACAGATATAGAGATTCACAATTCACAAATTCGTATTTGGGTTTATTTTGGCTTTCTTTATCTGTTCAATGTTCCTTTTAGAGCTCAACGATTTCATTTAAAATCTGCCAACATCTTACTACCATGTAAACTGAAAACCAAGTGATTTATTATTTACAAAGAAACATTAACTGGAGTTTTAATGTATGACATAATACTAGTCATAGTGTGAAGCAAGAAAACAAAAACTGAATATGAAGATGTTTGTTGTATGTAGACAAAGAAACTATTGAAATCTAGGATGCGCGTTGCGTCCTATCATTTGAACGTATCTTTATCCTAAAGTTGATATTCACAGTGGGACTCAAACTCAGCATATTTTCCTTTAAAATCCAACATCTTATGTACTAATTTACTGTTTCCAAATAATCACTAACTTATTTAACGAGTATAATGTTCATATCATTAGTATTAAGGGTTTAAATTATCCAGAAGTTTTTCATCATTCTACATTACCCGACCGTTGTTGCTACCTTGACGTGGTGGTCGGGTTTGGCTATCGTGATGAAGCAACCGAGCTATACTGTCTGGAACAACCGTTCCTCAAGGTAATACCATGTCAGACAGCTCGGTTGAAGAGCGTTAAAACTAAAAGCAACAAACCCAAGGTTCGAAGGCGAAGTCGTACTGCCGACTGTACAAAGGTGTGACAGCAGTTAGGCGTTTCCTCCAGACAACGAGCATGACAGCGATGCTGCCTTCTCACAAGGAGGGGTGGGGTTAAAAAAGGGTAGACCCTAAAAATGCACACCTCACCTTATAACACGGATATCCGTCTCCAGCGGTAGGGTCTCAACAAGTACGGAGCTAACACAAAAATTACCCATAAAAAGGTTGTGTGTGACCGACCTCAAGCAGTTGTCCCTTGGGCACTGTGGTCACGCTCTCAGGTCACTAAGACCACCTCTAATCCAATTCCCTTTTCACGTGTTTCCAGAAGAACTCTTCCACGGTGTGGGCAACCGGGAAGTGATAACCGCCCTCATACCTCTAACAGCACTCAAGACCACTGTATTCACATTAAAATACACGAGAGGAAAGAACGGAGTTCCTTTCAGTGTATCATTATTGCTTTATAAATGAATTGAAAGGAGAGTATAATCAAAACAAAACACTAAATTATAAAAAAAAAGTATCTATTTTAGTAAAGAATATAGAAAAGTAATTCTATATCAGTAGAATCTATAAATCGTGAATACTTCGGTGCAAAGTCATTAAATTGACTTAACACTTAGAAGTTTATCTGTAAAAGTCTACTCATAAATGTAAAAAACAATAAAAATCTAGAAAAAGTTTAGAATATCAAATCTATAAGATTCCTTCTGAAGAAAAACGATAAAAATATAAATAATTTGTGATTTATTTCAATGATAACTAATTGGATGTATTTGTGGTGGCCGATATTCGATATAATTCTCAAACTTCGTATACAGTTCGTCTTGATAACCGTCCTATATAACGCCCCAACGGTATACTAATCAGAAGGCGAATACGAAGCTTTGATTACGTTTATTAAGGGATCACACACAGATATCTCAAATTACAGATGCGTTAAACAAGCATAGAAGAGTTGTGCCGAAAGGCAAGCAGGCAACCAAGCGAGCGAGTGAGTCAGCGAATCGAATACAAGTAAGCGGGTACTATTAAGCGAGAGAGAGCAATGAACATGAATAACATGGAAATATATATACATAGTGAAATGGATGAATCAATTGAGCGGTTAATAGTAAGGTTAGCAGCCTGAGTAAATGCGTGGGCAGTAGGCAATGTTCAATCATACATGTTCATACATTCTCAACAGTAATAAAGATGCAACGGTATAGATAAGTTGTTGTTGTAAGGAGGACTCAATTCGTAAATAAGTTAACAAAATGACTTATTAGAATTAATTGTGAACAAACTCAATTTCACGTGAGCTGTTATATATTATATAACCACTACCCAGCATAATTGAATCATGTACTAAAGATTGAGATTGATGTATGTGAGATATGATCTAAACTTTAATTATATGAAAGATCAAAGATCTTATCCAATTCCTCAAACTGAAATAGGTGGAGTGAGATTTCAATTTATGTTTTAATTACTAGGCTATAAATCTAGCATTATTTATTTTATTTATTTGAACACAAATATTGGTACAAGAGGGCACCAAATGCATATGCGCCACACAAAACAAAGAGAATTCGAAGAAAAAGAAAAAAAGAACAATAACGAATAGATTAGTGTAAGGTGATGTAATAATAGTAATAATGATAATAATAATAATATTAATAATAATAATAATAATAATAATAATAATGGAGGGAACGGAAAGGTACAATCAGAAGAAATCTTTCACTTAAGGAAGATACAACCTCCGAATGCCCTGGTATGGACGTAAATGGGGTGGGCCCGCCCTCCCTCTCGAAATGCTCTCACACGGCCTCGTGTATACAGGGAAGTCCTACTCACTACCTTCTCGCGGCGGAAGTGTTGCTTACGAAAATGAGGACGAAAAGCGAATGCCCGGTGCTTTAACCGGATCCCAAACCAATGGTGCACATGGGCTCCAGTATCCTGCGGGAACAAATGGCGTATGAACCAATCGTTGGTCACCGGCTACCATGGGACTGCACCTCCTCACGATGCTCCACTGCCTTGTGGGTCAGACCTTAAGGACGAGGGCTCGGGGTGTGGCCCCCTAAGAAAACCACTTGCTTCGGTCTGGGCACCCGGGCAGTATCACAGCTCACACACAAACAGAATGAAATGACAATACGTACGGAAAATACTATACTTGCTTCGATTAACAGTCAATCTAACATTAAAAATGTTACACCATAGAACATTGCAATGAAGAAAAATGATATCAAACTAATCAAATATTAAAGATCAATAATTGCTGTTTCTACGTATTTACTGAAACTTTAATCCAAAAACTGTGATTAAAAGAATTCGATGCTACATATACCCAGTAATATAACATCATAAGATGTCCGTAGATGAGTAGAGTACACTGCTTTTATGTGTAAATGTGCACTTCAACATCAGTGAGCAATATTTTTTCATTAGGTGTGCTTCAATTTTTGTCAATTATTTAAGAAAATAAACATATAATAAAACAGATGAAGAGGATTGTTTTATACTCATTCTCAATTGGTAAGTGGATACATTCTTAGGAATCTCCATTAAAGAAAGTTCAACTGAAATTAATATCATTAAAATATTTCTTTAAATTTATAAACAGTAGTCAGTCAGTACCAACGTAGAACTTCGTACGTACGTACATCAGTTCGAGTTGCCACACCACATTAGCACAGGAATGCAGTTGTCGATTCAAACCCCACAGTGGTAGAGGTAAGAGTAAGAGTATAAGCAGTTATCGGGAAGATTAAGGTTTGAAGATGTTATTTAAAGAGTATGACCCAGTGAAATAAATTTGGAAAGAGAAAAAAAGAGACAAGGAGGAATCAGGAGATTAGAATTTGGGAGAACACAAAGAGTGGATGCATCTGCGTCATTGCAAACGATTTTGAGCCATGTCATTCAGGGTCTCTAACCATCGGTTGCTATCTTATATACAGTAGAGCATGAATTAGTAGTACAGACTGAATCTCAACAAGAACAAAAAAGTGAAATTCAGGATAGTAGCATGTGAATTGTCAAAAACCTTGAGGAAAAAAACATGACACGATAATAATAGTTCAGAAGTATGATCTTGTCTACAATATTGTAAGCTTTGAAAATCATTTTTATTACGTAATGAATTTGAATTCCTGTTCTATCCGTAAAAATTCATCTTTATGTGAAACTTTCTCTAAGTTTCATTACTATGTAAAACGCTTTCCTCATGTTAGCTCATGGCTATTTTAATACGTTAGCATTCTTTTATTACACTCTCCAAGATATTATAAAGACATCTATCTATATGGAAGAATCTATTCAGAAAATCAATTCTCTTTAATCTCTTCTATAAATGTATTGAGTAAACTTGGTCAATTACTGTTGTTGATTGTAACTGATTTCGATAATCTTGAAAACCAAGAGTTTGTTAAACTCGTCTAATACGAAACGAGTTCTATAAGGATTGGATAGACAAAATGACCAACACACGACAATTCAACAATAATTCCCTACTATCTGCCTACATGAGTTGATAAAAGAGAAGTCTTGTATCATAGATGTATTGAAAAAGACCTCAATGAATTAAAGTTACATTTAGGCTCATTTAGATTGGGTAAACTGTTAGAATCACAACATAAGTTTTTCCTCCTATCTACTTCCATGAAGATTTAGTATCGTTAATATATAATGTGACATCTCAAGAATAGTCAAGTTGTTTCAGTAAATCACGTCAAAACAGTTGAAAAATATTAACCGGGAGAGATAAACAACAGTACAAGTAACAAAAATTATTCAAGATTTAGATGAAGCGAAAAACTAAGATCATCAGTAATTACAACAGACATTAACAAATAAAGGAGGGTTAGTTTATAATTCATACATTCCAGAAAAAGCATACGGTTTACATAACTTTCCTAGGTTTTTAATTCCCTAAGATTATATAATGATGAAATTATTACACATTCAGAGATTTTAGAAGCCGTCTCAAGTTAGGGATGGTTGTAAATGATGGTGTAATACAGGAAGCGAGACTTGTTCTATCTTCGAGTCTTAATTTGAACATCAACACAAGGATAAATGTAGATACAGCTGATGAGTTCTGAGAACAAAACGAAACGCGCTTCCTCTACCCTATTCCCATTTGTAATCCAAACCTATAAAAAAAGTAATAATTACATACTATATTGCCAAGGATCTGCCTAGAATGTACATAACGCAATGAAGACTGGTTAATTACAGGTTTTAATCGCAACACAATGAGGAAAATCAAATCCTGGGATTGTCTATTGAAGAAGGGTGTGCCTGAGAAGTTTATTAACATCCTAAAAGCCCTATATACAAACACCTCAGGCAGAGTGAGGGCATACAACCACCTCTCTCCATTGTTCCATTCGAGCAGTGGGGTTAGACAGGGTTGCCCAATCTCACCATTCCTCTCCAACTTTGTCATCGATGACATTCTAAAAACAGCTCTGATGAATGTAAGTAATGGTGGTGTGGATCTGTTCCCTAAAGAAAGACTTCTCGACCTTGAGTATGCAGATGATATTGTCTTACAGTGTGATAATGCCCAAGGCATGCAATCCACACTTAATCGGTTGGCAATCAGTGTCCGTAGGTATGGTATGTGCTTTGCACCTTCGAAGTGCAAAGTACTTCTACAAGACTGGCAGGATTCCAATCCTGTACTCCCCCTGGACGGTGAACAGATAGAAGTAGTCGAGAAGTTCGTGTATCTGAGTAGCATCATAAGTGCTGGTGGGGATGTGAGTGATGAGATCAATGCACGTATAGTGAAAGCCAGAGCGGCTTATGCCAATCTGGGCCATTTTTGGCGCCTTTGTGATGTAAGGCTGGCTGTAAAAGGTCGGATCTACAACGCGTCAGTAAGAGAAGTTCTGCTCTATGCTTGTGAAACCTGGCATCTCCAAGTTGAGGACGTTAGACGACTTTCTGTGTTCAATTATCGTTATCTCCGAAGGATTGCTGACATCTAGTGGCAACACCATGTTAGTAATACAGAGGTTCGGCATCGTGTGTTCGGGCACAGAGATGATAATGCAATTGGTGTCACCATCTTAAAACAACGACTTCAGTGGCTTGGACATGTTCTACGAATATCGTCTCAGAGAATTCCACGTCGTGCATTATTTGCCGACTCTGGGACTGGTTGGAAGAAGCGGAGAGGTGGTCAGTGCATGACATGTTGTCGTGGTATGAAAGAAAGCTGCAAAGGACTGGCTTTTGTCGGTCCTTCACGACTCACTAGTTGGGGTCCGAGAGATGGTGCTACACAGTGGCTAGAGACATTATCAGATATGGCTCAGAATAGAAACCAGTGGCGATGCTGTTGTAACCTTTTACTTTCTTCATAACAAAAGTGGTTGTATCTTCCTTAACTGAAGGGTTTCTTTTGATTGTACCTTTCCGTCTCCCCCATTATTGTTTATTATTATTATTATTATTATTATTATTATTATTATTATTATTATTATTATTATTATTATTATTATTATTATTATTATTATTATTACACTACCTTACACTAATCTGTTCGTTATTGTTCTTTTTTGTTACTCTCCTTACCTTCCTTTTTTCTCTTCCCATTCTCGTCGTTTTGTGTGGCGCATATATATTTGATGCCCCCTTGTACCAATATTTATGTGTTCAAATAAATAAATAAATAAATAAAATAAGACAAAACAGTTGTCTCATGCTTCCAAGTTTTCAATGGTAATCTAGTTTATATCGGACTTATGAATTCAACTATGAAAATACTATAATCTTCACAAATCCCCATACTTACTTTTAGTTCAACATTGTAACAAATTTGATTACTTTCATTATGTAAATTTATATGTGCCGAGAATGTTTCACCCAAATAGATAGTACTATAAAATAAATAAAAAGAGATAAGATGGAAATGATAGTTTTGTTTTTGTTTCTCAATTAATTATCATTATCATTTGTATTCCGGGTGAGATGAACTTAAAATAAGGGCGATTCATTTTTAATTAGTTTTTTAACCATTCAGGAAAATCTTTGTAAATGAGTAGTTTACGAAGGGGGGGAAGGGGAACAAAGTATAGAGAGATTAATCTGTCAGTAAATTGAGAAAAAAAGATGATATGGAAACTTATCCTTATGACGACAGATTATCCGTTTTCCTAAACTCTTAAAAAGAACAAAATAGATTTTTCATCTATGTCATATTGTTCCCAGATAGAGTTAGATATTTATTATTGTAATAGGGGCTTTGAGGTTAGGGTTTTCGTAACAAGGAGGTGTAGGAAGGATTTGAATGTGACCAACTTGGTCTCGCGTGCTGTTACGGGTATGAGGGCTGGTGTCACTTGCGGCTGCCCACACCGTGGAAGGGTATTTCTTGAGGGACCTGAAAAGGAAATCAAATTAGTGTTGATCTTAAAGACCTGGGAGCGTGACCGCAGAGCCCAAGGGACAACTGCTTGAGGCCAGTCGCGCACGGCCTTTTCGTGGAAGGTTTTTAATGTGTTAGCTCCGTTCTTCAAAGGGCCTTACCGCCGGAGACGGAAATCCGTGAGGTAAGGTGAGGTGTGAGATTTTTAGGGTCGACCTTTTCTAACCCCACCCCTCCTTGTGGGAAGGCAGCATCGCTGCAGATGCTGGTTGTCCGAGGGAAACACCTTACTGCTGTCACACCTCTCTACAATCAACAGTACGACTTCGCCCTCAGACCTTGAGTTGCTGCTTTTAGTCTTACCGTTCTCCAATCGACATGCCTGGCATGGTAGAACCTACAGGAACAGATGTTCCAGCCAATATAGCTCGGTTGGGTCATCACGATAGGCAAGCCCGATCACCGCGTCAAGGTAGCAGCTTTGACTGACTGACTGTTTTCGTAATAAACCAACATCAACTATAATGTAAAAATGCTCTGTGGCCAAATTGATGAATGAATCTAGTGCAAAAAGGTATTATGGGCCAATTAATTAGTTTAGGGGTCAACATTTCCAGTTGAAACTTTAAGAAATTCTCATAGTTTGTACATTTACTACAAATGACTGTAAAAGTTGTTTAAAACTGCATGACGTTGAATACCTTCTCTTGCATTTTGAATCCCTCATAGCACAGCACACTGATAACCGCTTGCAAATACACTGCTACAACTACACATCTCTAGTTCTCAGTTGCCTGTTGTTACGATAACTGACCTCCAAAATACTTGTTACCTACATTTATAGACCACAGTAATATTTCCATTAAATATCCCATCTGGCTAAACCGCTGGAATTATAACAACCTTTATTGGAATTATCACCTATAATTGTGGATTATTATGCCAAATGCAGCTCGAACACGCCAAGGCCTGCCAATTTAAGTAACGTCTTGTAACTTTTCCTTGTGTTTATAAATTATATTTAATATATTAAAACATTGATTTTTGAACGTAATAACTTTATTATCATTTTTGGAGTTAATATAATTTTGGGTCCACCACAATTATCTGGTGAGGCCGATGTTTATTCTGTTTGTTATATTGTTTATTTTATCTGACTCGCTAGTTTATTTTTTATTTAATGTACTCTCCTAATAACCTTAGTGACATTGAAGGTACCCTATAAACGCTCCTACTTCATTACCCAACTGGTCTGACCCCATTTTAAACGCAGTTAATACAATACTTCAATTCAGATTCCCAGCATAAGGAGCTAATAATTTAAGAGTTTGGTTCGCACAAGTAGAAGCCTTATTCATATCTCGAGGAATTCATCCTCAGGCAGCAAAATATGCACACGTAGACAAATACAGATAACAAATATTTACGAGTTCAGTTATCGTAACAACAGGCAACTGAGAACTAGAGATGTGTATTTGCAGCAGTGTATTTGCAAGCGGTTATCAGTGTGCTGTGCTATGAGGGATTCAAAATGCAAGAGAAGGTATTCAACGTCATGCAATTTTAAACAACTTTTACAGTCATTTGTAGTAAATGTACAAACTATGAGAATTTCTTAAAGTTTCAACTGGAAATGTTGACCCCTAAACTAATAATTTCGAAAATAATAAAAAGTAATATTTTTCTTAATGTTAATGGATAGTCGCTTAGTATTGTGAATTTTGAAAAGTATTGTTAGTTTATCTCTTGAAATTCTATACTTACCCAAACGAATGAGTTAAACTTAGCAGTTCACTATATCCACCAACTTTTGGTTGTATATAATTATAATTATCTTTACTGTCATTATTTAATATATGATCATAGTTAGGAGATTCATGAGAATTTGAAGAGGGAGGTATATTACCAGCAGATAAAAGATTTAACGAAATACCATCAAGGTCTCCACGAATACCTGCGTCAGCTGCTGTTAAACACCCTGCTATATCATCCAGATAAAGTTCAGTTGGTTCACAACGTTGTATAACAAATGTTGGACGATTAAGTCGCATTACTACAAGAAGAAATATCAATCAGGGGTTATATTTTAAGTGAATTTTACAACGCTAAATAATCTGATACAGCAAAACATGTTATAAAATGTATTTAACAATGATGAATAAGACATAGTCAATCAACTAGTCATTCATAACGTAGAACCGGGCATATATGTGCATTGGTTCAAGTTGCTATACTATATTAGTACAGTGAAAAAAATCGTAAATGCGAACCCCAAAATAGTAGAAATAGTAAGTTATAGTGGTACTAGAAAATTTTAAGCATAAATCATGTAATTCGAGACAATGAGTCCGTGAAATAGAAAAAGCTATAAAATAATTTATGAGCTTATGATCAAAGTATAGTCAAAGAGTGAATACACAATTCCAACCACTCCTGAGTCATGTTATCTAAAGTCACTAATCACTGGTTACGACTATTGCATGAACTCTAACCAGGTATTTTGCACTTGTCCGCATGGTTTAGTTTAACGGATAATGACTAACGCCGTGTTTTGATTTGGCCGCACTCTAGCTTTCATTCAACTTACTTCTATATCAGGAAACATCGCCCATCGACTTAGATGGTGATTGGCCATATGCAGTAATATCCCAAAAACCTCAGTTGATAAAAATTGATTACCTCACACATGTGATCTGCATAAGACTGAAAGTTAATAAACGCATTAACTGATTACTCAGTAGTTTCCAATCGAATTCTATCGATCAACCTAAGCCGTGACTACCGTTCCTTACCACTGATTAGAATATACATTATTTAGATATGACTATAGCTTTCATCAAGAATTCAAAACTATTTTAAGCACTATTATTAACCAGTTAGTCTGTAATACCTTGGGCTTCGTATATCAAGCACCCTGATAACCGTTATTAAATAAATCCCAATGATGTATGAATCCAGCAGGCAACACAAAGCGCCGACTACAGTTTATTATTGAATACCGCAGATCAAGCACATCAAACACACCGAGCATAAGTTTGTATTGTCAGTATGGGGTGTCGAAGCTATTAAATTTCACTGAAATCATGAACCGATCTGAGTTATACAACCAATGAAAGCCTGAAAGCACTGGACAGTCGTTTCGCCCCATTATGGGACTCTTCAGCAGTGTGTTCACGACTTCTGACCGAGACTCGAACCCAGGACCCTGGTTTATATATAAGACATGTACATAGACACTTTGATTTTAATGGTATCTTGATAACAAACAAGGAGTTACATCCTGAGTTTGGATACATCATCAACAAAATGCTATTTTATCAAGCACAAATGTTACTTCACTGAGTAACACCGCTTTTGCTTACGTATTCACCATTTGAGTAAGACTAAACGTTGCTACAAAAAAAACTTAGCAGATTCACACTAACTATAGTCATCACTTTTCCAAGGACATATGCATTCTAGATCGATGGGATCATTATTAACCATTTTAAAAACATGATCTAAATTGTGCATAAATAAGTATAGATAGGTATAGGTATATATGTGTATGTCTGTATTCTTGATATTTCCCTCAACAACAAACAAAATTATCCACCATTGTCCAGTTGGACATACAATGATGAACCTATCAAATATATTTTTTGAAGGGTACACAAAAATACAAATAACAAACTGATTGGCTGATGTTGGAATATAATGCATATGATGATGGATCACTACAGTGATTACGGAAGGAATACCATCAAACAAATTTAATATTTGATTAGGAAATTACACTCTACAACTAGTGTCAACATTTCACAACTCATTTATAAATGAATTTTATTTCATTCATATTTCTAAAAGAACAACATATTTCCATGATAGTAAAACATACCGATGATTCTACTTGTTCGAATGGAACTTACAAATTTTACATATTAAAATAAACATATCTATCTATATCTATATATAAATTATTGATAATGTACACAATCATTTATCTACATAGAATGTAATAAGAGTTAGGGGTTAATAGCCCAAGTATTAAACTGTAAATATTGATTAACAGTTAACCATACAAAACCATGGGAAATATACTACTATTATTATGATTATTGGATATGTATTGTCTAATCTATCCCTCTTCAAACCTATTTCTCTAGAGTACAAGAAATCCAATATATATAGATTAAATATATGCACTATTATATGTATATATCAACTATAAAGTAGAATATTCACTTCACTTACAAAGTATTCTCATTACTTATGATCCTGTTACTTGTGTTACTTTATTATTTTAACATAATTTATTCAATATCAAAGTTTATATTGTAATGATCATGGTGATTAATTCAATGAAAGTTAATTCATCTTTTTTTTATATGATTATATTCTATTATTGTATTATTTCAAATTGTAATACATCATTACATCATCAACTTCATCAACAACAACAACCAATTATGAACACCACCACCACCACCACCACATCATCATCAGATCTATTTAGACCACTTAATTGTACAGTGGATTATCATATTGATTTAGGTTTGAAACCAGATATTCAACATAAAGAAGATACTATATTTAAACATTCTTCTCAATCACCGATATTAAGTGTAGGTGCATATCAATGGATTGAATTAACATGTACATGTTGTTGTAAATATACTGAACAATGGAAACAAATTATTAAAACACAATTAGCTCAATCGATCAGTCAAACAGTAGGGATTAATCAATCGTCAATAGATGATAATAATAATAAGACGGCAACAACTTTATTGTATAAAATTACATCTTCCAATGGTTATGTGATTGCTTTATCACTTTCTAAGAGAATACATTCTAATATTCATTTATATCATTGTGAAAATACTACTGATAGTACTACTTATAATAATCATAACAATTCTCTATGTATTACTTTATATTTAGAGATAAAATGTAATACAACTAATGGATTTTATATACATGCAGAGAATTTAGGTCATAGTCAAATTACTACTTCATTAATTTGGTTAAATAGTACATCAAGAAAACATATTGAATCATTGACAAAATTAACTGATTCATTAAATATCATTGATGAACATTATCATCCACAGAATCATTCAACAACAGCGACAACAACAACAGTGACAACAACAATCACTAGTCCAGAAAGTATGAGACAACATCAAATACAATTACAAGAAGAAACATTATATCAATTAAATAATAATAAAGGATATACTGTTACAATACAAGATCAAACACAAATTAAAATTACCGAAGCAAAAATTTATGTACCAAAACAACAAATGAATTATTATAACAAATTAATAGAAGAGTTGAATAGTAACAATAATAGTTTAATACAGGATGACAAAAGTCATGGTGTATGGAAAAATTATCTATGGTTAACAGTATTATTAAGACCACAGACATTTTATATTGTATCTGATTGGAGTTCAGCAATAATTGCTTTTATGCTTGCATTATCTGTCGGTTGTTGTAATGATCCAATTATGATTAAAGAACAATTACATGAACCAAAAGCTATATTGACCGGTTTATTTTGTCAACTGATTATAATACCAATGGTAGGTGGTGCCAATCTGTGTGTGTGTGTGTGTGAACGAATTATATAACTTATATTTGATAGTAAACATTTTTAGCTAGCAAAGTAAGGATAACATAAATTGAGTTACTGGCTTTTTTCCCCTACTGATGTGGTTCGGGGACCACTTCTATATACGTTTCCGAATTAAACTAGTACAATCGAGAGTAGAGAAAGTTTGCTCTTACTCTCAAAATGTTCACTAGCTGCATTCACACGTCGTGCTTTTTTTTACAAAATTCAGAGCACGAAAAGTAGAATTTCGGCGACAAAATTGTGTTTATGTATACAGATGGTTCACCCAAGGGAGTTAAATAACTTTGGTTTCAAAGCGGTGGGAACGGATGACGTTACCAGGTAACATAGAACAGTATCTCTTAACAATGCTGCATTGCCTTATAGATAAGACCTCTAGGTGAATGGCTGAGGGAGTCATCCCCCAGAAAAGCCAAATGCATCAGTTGTAGGTTCGAACTCCAATTCACTTACTTCAGTCTAAGAAGCTGGATAGTATCAATAAACCTGACAAAAAATGTATAACTCAAAGCAGAGAACATAAATTCTTATTCCGTTATTGAGTTGCACTGTGTATTTTATGGATGTCCAGATATATTTAATCGTATTTCTTGATACCCTTCAAAAATAAACAAAATGTCTAATTAAACTATATTTTCAGTCACTAAGTGTAAACAAAGGGTGTTCCTTAGTGGCTCCTAAAATCTATCAACCGTCAACTGTAACCATCAAATTTAATTCATCATATCCTGAAGTTGCTTCCCCTTTAAGCTACAAAGCATCCAGATCCAAATCAGTTTATTGAATAGCAGATTTTATTCTGTACTAAAATGCACTCCTTTTCATTTATTACTATTCAAAATCCTATTAGTTTTTCAATATATATTCAGTTAAAGCATTATTAGTAAATAGTTCGTTATTCTGGCTACTAGAATGACAGATATGACTTAAGATTTCGTAAAAAAAAGGATGAGTTTACCAACACAACCGGTAGACAGTTATCAGTAAACAGGGTACAACTTTTTGTCCATTAACGTTTCAACTGCTTGAAATCATAAAAAATGGATGTAATTTTAAGTTGAAATGATCAGTCAATTGAAGCTAGACCACCATGGAAAAACTGGAAGCACTGGATGGCCGTTTCGTCTTAGTATGGGACTCCTCAGCAGTGCACATCCACGATCCCACCCCCCGCGAGATTCAAACCCAGGACCTATCAGTCTCGCGCCCGAGTGCTTAAACATTAGACTACTGAGCCGGTATCCAACGGTCATTTCAACTATTGAAATTACTAAAATCTCCAAAAGAACCCTTCTGATAGTAATTTTAAGTACTTATTTCGTTATATACTACATTTTTACTAGAAATATAAAAGAAATACTGTAATGAAGACTTATTCCGATATTTATCTTCTATTATGAAGGATAATCGTTAAGTTAAATTTACTCAAC